CTGAGACAAAAGAATCGCTTGAACCCAGGAGGCGGAGGTTGCAGTGAGCTGAGATCACACTACTGCACTCCAGCCTGGGTGACAAAGCGAGACTCCATCTCAAAAAAAGAAAGAAAAGAAAAGACTGCAGACATCAGACAGGAGACAACTGCAGCCACCCTGGGCTCCTGGCCACAGCACGCTGTCCCCTAAATAAGGACTGGGAGCGTCTCTCCAATACTGAATATGTACTCAGGTGAGGGGTCCCACATGCAGGGCCAGGCAGCTGAGGTGACAGACCACTGAGGCCCAGGCTGCCCAGATGCCCCATTTCTGTGAGGCCGGAATCTGGATTTCTTTGCAGGTGCAATCCCTGCTTTGTGGATCTCGCTGCTGACTGGGCCTCAAAAGCCCTGTGGGGCCACACGCACACGCAGGGCATCTCTGCTACACTTGTTTCTGTTTGCCCTGACCCCGCCCTCCAGCCGCCTGGCCTTCCCTCCGTTCCCACTTTGGGACAGCCTTGTGCCTACCTTGTCTAGCGCCTCCTGTAGCAGGCCCTCAGCGGCCTCCCAGCGGCCCTGGGCCATATGGCAGGCCGCCTGCCCATTGAGCAGCAGCAGGGTGGGCGAGCACTTGTCAGCCATCTCCTGGAAGATGTAGTAGGCATCCTGCAGCTTCTCACCGCCCTGCAGGGAGGGTCCCACATCATCATCTGCGCCGCGGCCGCCGGGCCCTTCCACCGTCAGCCCCCTCCCCCAGAGGGGGCTCTGCACTGCACAGACACAAATCTGGTATGCCCGGTTCAAGGCACAGCCACTCCACCATGGGGACCACTTGTAACCTGTATTCTGCTGACGGGGCCTAAAGACTCGCGGCCGCCTCCTGCCTCACCTCCTACCCGGCTCCCAGTGTGCTGGGTACACAGAGGTGGAATTTAGGGCTTCCAGGGCACAGGGGCACAGGTGGCTGGGCCAGGGTCTGAGTGGGGACCACTGGGTCACCGGGCACATCGGAGGAGGATGAGTCAGCTCTGTGACCAGCAACTCTGACCTGCCCGCTTGCTCAGGACTGTGGGATACTTGCAGGGGGAGCCTGAGGTCAAGGCAGGCTGTAAAAACAGTTCAAACTACCCGAGAGGGCTGCCAGGGCCTGTCCCACCACACTGGACAGCCACTGGAAGTCCATCTGGGTGAGGCTCCAGCCCCGTGGCGGGCAGGGACGGGGAGCACATTTTTCCCCCCAGAGTTTTGCTCTTGTCACCCAGGCCAGAGTGCAATGGCACAATCTCGGCTCACCGCAACCTCCACCTCCCAGGTTCAAGCGATTCTCCTGCCTCAGCCTCCCAAGTAGCTGGGTTTACAGGCATGTGCCACTATGCCCGGCTAATTTTGTATTTTTAGTAGAGATGGGGTTTCTCCATGTTAGTCAGGCTGGTCTCGAACTCCTGACCTCACATGATCCACCCACCTCAGCCTCCCAAAGTGCTAGTATTACAGGCGTGAGCCACTGCGCCCAGCCAGGAAGTGTATTTTAACAGACCTGCACAAAAGAATGGCTCAGAAGGGGGCCAAGTCCCAGAAACCAGGAGAGGGGGTGTTGCCAGGCAGAGGTGCCCAGGCCTGGGAGCTGAGGACATCTCCACTGCTGCTATGGGAACACTGAACCCTGTCCCTGGCTGGGGACCAGGACCCTGGAGAGCAAAGCTGAGTCGCAGAAAACCCCAGGAAGCCCTGGGGGGAGGAGGGGCTGCCAGGCCAACCCAGACCCTCGAGTCCCCCTGCGCCTCAGGCTCAGGAACCCCTGTCCCCGTCCCCACCATCGCTCTGCCTCTGGCCAAGTCGCTTGGCTGTGAGAAGCCCGGAATGGAGTGAAGGCTGAGAGTTGTGCCAGGCTGGCAGGGGGCCATGGCCTGATCCTGGAGCCCCAGTGGAGTGGCCGGCAGCCTGGGCACAAGTGGGGGTGCCCACAGACCCTACTCAGCCAGGTGCCCGCAATGCCCGCCTGCCTCGTGGCCCAGGACTCACCGTGGCCAGGCTGACCCAGGCGGTGGCGAGCTGGGTGAGGGTGGCATCCTCGTCCAGGTCCTGCATTCTCTTCAGTTCTTTCCTGGGGTGGGGACAGAGGACGGAGGAGCTGAGCGGCCGAGAGCCCTGGCCTGGCTATCTCTGCCTTGTTCCCACTTGGGGCCCACCAGAGCCCGGGGATGGCCCCCACTATGTGCTCCCCTGCGTGCTCATACCCCACGACGAAGTGCCCGAGCTGCCCTGCCCGCCCCACCACGCAAAGGCCCCGGGAAGGCGGGACTGGAGCCAGCTACGGACCCCCGAGGTGGCTGGCACAAGGTAGGGCTCGGGAAAGACTCGCTCCATGGAAGATGGAACGCAGGGAAGGGCGACGGAGCTACAGCATGAACAACTC